CACAAACCCTGAAAAGGTCTCCAGCTCCAGGGCAAGCTTTGTTGAATCCTTCCTGAGTGCATTTCATTACGCAAAGGTGTTTTCTGCAACACAGAAATTTTCTGCTATCCGAAAATGAGGAGGCTACTTTGCTTACTTGCATGAGCTGGCTGCTCCATCGAGGAATACCGTTGGGTTAATGGAGGCAGCTGGAGAGGAGTCGAGACGAAAGGGTACCTCACGTGGGACTCCACATTCCGTGGCACATTTCATTGTCGCATCCTCTGACTTTTCAAGGCAGTCGGATACCAGACGAAATTCTGCAGAGATTAAGCTTAGCTAGTATTGTCTTATTTAGCACAATCTGAATAATCGTAGTAGTTATGGATCACTACTGATAATATGAATTTCCTTCCCTTTTTAGGCTAAGAAAAACTAGAGTTCCTGATAGTACGGAACGACCTTGGCTCCCGAAAAACAACTTTTTGCGAGTGGAAAGAACAGGTTGCCCCAATCAGAAACTAATGACATGCTACTACATGCCTCAATTTCAAACCAATCAAACTTTCATTTTTCAAAATAACTTTTTCCAGTACGCTTTGCAAAACAGCTGGTAACATCTCCCTGTTCGAATAGAAATTAGAAATGAACGTTATAGTTGCCATGGTTTTGCAACTGTGGTCTGTGAACGATACTGAGCGAGTATCTTGAAACGTGACCTTGTGTGAAATTAATGACTGATTTATCATGGGGTTCTTGAGCGAAATTGTCTCACCGCGAAAATCATCATTCTATCTATTTTTTCTTTACAATTTCAAAGCGTTAAAAGTCTTCGAATTCACCTAATGACGTTGAAAGCGGATTCACGTGATTGTCTCTTGTTGTATTTTGACACTTTAAAACTTTGCATTACCCAAATTAAGCAAACCAAACGCTGTTTCTAAAAATGCATAGCTTACATTAAGCGCATTTTATAGAAGAGCTTGATTGGAGAGTTGTGGTACATTTACAGTACAATTAAGATCCAATCGCATCGGTATATGCGTGTAATGCCGTCTGAAAGTTTATGTATCTCTCGTTGCCACATAAAGCAACTGTGTGCTCAGTTATTGCGATCAA